TTGCCTTGGATGTAAGGCTGGCCTAGGAGAAACATGCATCCCTGTTGCAAGCGTAATGTTTTATATTGAGGCATGGACCTGAATTCATGGAAAGCTGGCATTTACCAGCGTAAAATGCACATGGCTTTTGCCTACTTATGTCATTGAAGTAAATTATGCGCCAGTGCAAGACATCGATTTCAGCTCAGCTGGGAAACTTAAGGAAAATCTAGATGGGAATATAGATGCCTTGACCCCAGACTGCAAAGCGGACTTTATTGGTGACCGATCGGCTCTATTTGTTAAGGATGATGAAGTTGAAAAATGTCGCCCCACAGCAGAGGAACTGTCTACGTTCTATGCGAAGCTAAATCAGTGTAGCGTTAAGCCTGTAGCACTGAGTTTGCAGGATGATTAAGCAGGCCAGCTTGTAGTAGGAAGTGGAGCTGTTCCTGTGATTACAGACTTATATGAGACTCAAAACCTCGATTTTAAGTATCCTGACTTGTGAGGAAATGCTTAGCCGTGAAACTTGAATTAACTGTGGAGAGCACTGCGCTCGTAGAAAAAGACACATGCTGTCATGCGAAATGCTCAAGTTTTTATCGACATCGGGTGGGCAGGATTGGGGCGTCTTTGAGTAGTGCTGCCTCAAAGTGCAACTTTGCAAAGCCTCCGCAGTCAACAATAAGAACTTTAAAAGAAGTTTACTGTACAACTGAATCACATTGAAACTAGTCAAATGGTATTATTGGTGGGTATAAATTAACAAGTGCAGAGCAAACCCTCACAATACGATCAATCATAGGAAACTGTGATCCAGGTGGTCCATTTGGGTTGCAAGGAAGGAAATCTGTTGGAAGTGTGCTTTCCAAGATGGTATACTTGCGCCGCAACAATCCTATCACCCTCTCCACGTGGATACCAACACTTGCGATGCCTTTAGTTTTTTCCACATCAACTGGATCCAGCTGGGATTCCCCTTTGTGAAGGCTGGAATAACCAGCTTGGCTTGCTTTAAGCCAACACTTTCTGCAATCTTGAACCCTCTATCAGCCATTACCATGTCTCCTGGTAGCAATTGGTCAAGAAATCCACAATTCTCTGTCAGATATTTGTCAGAGGTGCGGCCTCACCAGACTAAACTAACAAAAGACACAGTTCCTTGGGGTGTAATGCCAATGAGAATCTTGATAGTATTGTGGTGTTTGTAAGATGAAAATGTTTGTGCTCTGGCTAACAGATTTGTTGGTAACAGATTTGTTGGCCTTTCAATGAATACTTCAAAACAGTCAATGACTAACGTTACTTTCCTTCCAAATGCATATTGAAAACACATTGGCATTGTTTTCCATAACTGCTCCCTAACTGGCCAGGAAACAAAAGGAAACAACCTGGTGTCCATAACTCCCATCCAAGAGGAAGAAATCCTTGACACAGTGGGCACAGATACCATGAAACGGTAAGCCAGATCTTGAAAGGGTACATTCAATCGCAGTTTCATTAGGACCATTACAAATTTCTGAAATCTGCTGAGGGATAGAGTTTTGGGAGTGACATGTGAAGACACGTGTTCAAAAGCAACCATTAGAATCTCAAATGATGGCAGTCCCATGTAAAAACGGACCTTGCCGTCTGTTTGAAAGAAATCTTGGTCGGGTGCTTGATATTCGCTGGGCCTGGAAAACATTTCTTCAAACTCTTCAGTCTGAGTTTTGGCATTGACTGGTGGAAATGTGGGAAATTCTTCTGTCTGTGTTTCAGCATCGTGAAATTCAACCGCCATTGTTTCTTCATCGCTCGCACAAGCAGCTCAAGAAATATCAGGCTGTTGAGTATCACGTTCTTCAGGCTGTATTTCACTGCTATGTTCTTCGACTTTTTCGGATGAAGTACTCATTGACGCTTCCCTAAAGTCCATGTTAGCAACATGTTCGCCGCTTTGGTCCAAGAACTTTCTTTTCCTTGCAGCCTCATTCTCTTGTTGTTCGATGTCTCTTTTCCTTCGAGTCTTTGCTGTTTGGCTCTTTTTGTCGCAGCCTCGACGTCTTTCTGTTTGTGTATTCCTTTACCTAAGTTTAAGGTCGGTATCCAATCGGCGTTCAATTTGTCCCAGCTCGGTGACGGCCTTCCTGACACAAAGTGGTGTTCACAAACTAGCTCGTTTTCCAGGACGTTCTTTGTATCAGTATCACCTCTACTTATTCTTAGTTTGCACGAGACGTCACACCTAATTATGCGATCTCTGAAAACCGGAAGTCGGCCATTGCTGGTGGACCAGTGCCGGATGCAAACAAAGCGAAGCAAAGACTTTTTGTCACAGTTGTTGAGTTTTTGTTGTTGTTTTATTCGGCCATGGGCTATATTTGTGCTGTCAAAGGCTGCAGTAACAAAAGTAACAAAAAGGAAAGGGGATTTTTGTATACAATATTTTCGCTTCCCCGCAATAAGAAAGAAGAGAGGAGATAAACTACGCAAGCTTTGTGAAGATCGTCGACGACAGTGGTTGGCAAACATACGGAGAAAGGATTTAGATGACAAGAAGGCTGAAAATACGCGTGTTTGTAGTGAGCATTTTAATGGTGAGTAAAAAAATAAGGAATAGATTCATGGTTTAGGAAAATGCACGTGATACGATTTACGCAAAGATTTTTACGGACCTCAAGTTGATCGCACGTGTTATCATTGCATTTTAGGAACCGGAAGTGCTAGCTAGGATGGAGATTACAAATGTATGTCCAACGAGAAAGACGAATAGAGGGAGACCACCCACGATCACTGCAAGTGGGAGTGAGGAGCAGAAAGAGAAAAGATTTAAATCGTGGAACCCACCAGTCACACAGCCAGATGAACGTGCGAAACGTATTATGTTGAAAGAGGCATTAAGAGTCGTATTGACAGTGATTATGAAAAATCATGTTTTCACATTTGATAACGAGATCAGAAAGCAAATAAGAGGTGGTCCAATTGGCCTTAAATTAACCGGGGTACTGGCCCAGATTTTCATGATTTGGTGGGATGAAAAATTTGCAACAAGGCTGAATGAATTGGCCATCGTTATGAAAATGAACAAACGGTACGTGGATGACATCAACATGGCTGTGCAAGCAACACCAGTTGGGATGAGGTACAAGGATGGAAAAACTCACATGGATGAGAGATCCGTAGCTGAGGATCAAGGAATCAGTGACGATGAGAGGACTATGACATTGATAAAACAGATAGGAAACGACATACACCCGTCAATACAACTCGAAATAGATTACCCCTCTAAACACCAGGACGGAAAGCTACCTATCCTTGACTTGAAGGTGTGGATGGAAACAAAAGGGGAAGAGACAGACAGGCAGGACGAGAAAGCCTCAGCCTCAGTGATCATGTATGAGTTTTATTCCAAGAGCATGGCTTCTAAGACAGTCATACATGCTAGGTCTGCCGTAAGCTGGAGTACAAAGAGAACAGTCCTGACCCAAGAAGTCCTTCGGGTCTTACTTAACTGTAGCAGATTGTTACCATGGGAACGAGTAGTAGAGAATGTTAACGAGATGGTCCTGAGAATGCAATACTCGGGGTACAGCAAGAAATTCAGATATGAGGTTGTAGATTCGGCCCTCAAAGCTTTTAGAGCGAGACAAAGAGCTGAGCGAAAAGGAGAAAGACCGTTACATCGACCCAAGGAGTGGAGAAAGGTGGAACGAGAAAAGGAAAAGAGCGAAAGGAAATCCAACTGGTACAAACGCGGCGGGAATGAATCAGTAATTTTTGTACCAGCTACGCCCAACTCACGGTTACGGAAGGAATACCAGACAGAAATAAAGCAGCAAGGTTTCAATATTAAAGTGGTGGAGAAAGCCGGAATCGCCATTAAACGACTACTCCAAAAGTCCGACCCATTTAAACCGCGACAGTGTGGACGAGAAGACTGCCCAGTGTGTAGCACAGGTGGAAAAGGACCGTGTGATAGAGAAAGTGTGACGTATGAGATTAAGTGTATCCAGTGTAACAGCGTATACGTAGGGGAAACAGCCAGGAGCGCGTATACCAGAGGGAAAGAGCATACGAAATCACTTAACAATAAGGAAGAACGATCTGCATTGTGGAAACACTGTAAAGAGAAACACAATAGAGAGGTAAAGCAGTTCCGAATGGATGTGACGGGGGTTTATCACAATGACGCGATGCTGAGACAAATAACTGAAGGAGTGAGGATAAATAATGTGAACGAAGACTCGCTTATGAACTCCAAGAACGAATGGAACTTTTTTCAAATCCCACGAGCTGTGATTGATACATCATGACCGCTTACATGAAGCCTGGAAGAAGTGTGGACATTTCAGAGTCACTTATATGAACAATTATTTATGAGTATTTTAAACATGGCGGAGTACTACTGATGAGGATCGTAATTGATCGAAATCGATTTGGAATTCCGCTACATTTTTACAAGTGACTTTTTATATACCATTTTACACGTTTTTACAATTCTTGTATTCGTTTTATAGTAGTTTTTAGTGCGTCGAACGTGACTACGAGACGTTATGTCTAGCAAACTGACTCAATTATCGAACACGTTCCTGGCCTCGGCCCACAAAATTTCATCACAACTCTTCTTTAGCTAGCCAATAAACAACTTCGAAATTTTTCTTGCACTCTTTTCCCTTGTTCTTTTCCTTGTCATCTAATTGCTTCTGAAACTCTGATCCTCGCTGCAGCATCTCTAATTGTATGGCTAGTTTGTGTTGCGGAGAATCAGCATGTGCTCTGATTGTCTCAGGCTTGAATCTCATTGCTGGGATTTCGTTAAAGTATCTCGTTTTGTTTTTGGCACTGTGAGTGTCATGTTTTTTACAAAGAAGGCAAAACATACCCTCATTTGCTTGAAAAACAAGCCACCATATCCCCGCTTCAGGATCATATGCTTCTGGTCTACTAAGCACAGAATGCTGGGGATTTGACACTATATACAAGTTCAGAGGTGTGTTTAATACCACGCAGGTTTTGCTGGTGCACATCTACGTCAGGGAAAGTGTTGTTCAACATAACTGTCTCCCTTCCTTTATAGCAAGAAGATTGAGAAGGTCCTTTACTTGTTTGAGGACTCTTTCGGAAAGCAGTTTTTGAAGAGGAACAACTTGGCTTTTCACTCTCATTACTACTTGCAGGCATTGGATCACAGTTTGTTGCCTCAGACAGGCTTTCTTCATCTGTGGTTGCTTGCCTTAGAATTTCCCCTAAAGACACCAATATTTTTGTCAATTCATTTCTACTGAATGATCACCGTTGTCTGTGTTCAAAGTTGACATTATCAAGGATTTTATGAACCAGCGTCTGCCGATGATAAAATCGACATCCATGAATTAAATCCTTTCGTGCGTGAAACTAGGCGAGTAATTTTAGTTCCGGTTTCTGGTTTCGGTGAAGTCTTTGTTTGACCCGCGTGACCGCCGAAGTGAAGTATCATCGGGCCGTGAGAGAAAACCTCTGGTATCCAGGGTATCACTTTTGAGATCGCCTGTGTTAATTTTTTCGTTTGTCTTAAGATAAAATCTTTCAGTTTTTTCTATTTCAAAGTCCAAGTCGTATTTTGATTGTTGGATAAGGGAAATTTAAATTTAACCTTGTAAATAGTGACCTCATTAGCAAAGGGCAGCCGTGAGACATTGTTTTGTTTTCTTCGTCAGGAGAAAATTACCATTTTTACTGCTAACAGCGCAGTACAGTGAAACACTCATTCAGAATAATCATGCCTTTCAACTTACCTTGTTTTCTCTTGGCCGTCGGGACGAAAAACCCGCTTATCCTCTTCATTCTTTGAACAGTTTGACTAACACAAGTTGCGTGTTTTACCTGGGGATTTCCCTCAAGACTTGGCCGAGTTGGAATGAGAACGAAATAGTCACTTCAATTCCGTTTAAATGAAGAGGGGAAACCAATAAAATATCCCGCCGCTCAATAAGC